CGACATCCGTGAGCTCGGGCCAAACGGCAACGAAGTGCTCGGGCTCCACAGCGCCTGCTGCGACATTCATCGTAACGAGTCGGAATTCGGCTCCTGTGGGCTCCCGCGGAAGAGGCAAATTCACACGCACGCCCATCAGGACAGCGCCCAATGTGATAATCAGCGCGCAAGCGCCGACTCCCCAACGGGCGAAGACCGCAAACAATAGCACCAAAGGTGCGGGGACCAGCCACGGCCAGCGCGGGGCGAAGGCAAGGATCGTCGCCCACCACCAACGGTCGGTCCCAATCCATAGAGAACCGACAATCACCGCCAGCGCAACGGTGTAACCCCACACGCTCCACGTCGCCGCACGACGCCAAAGGCTCCTCGGCCGCGGCGTGTCAGCCAGCGGCTCTTTCGTGCTACTCTCCAGCACGGGTTGCCCCCTCGGGACTAGGCGTTAGTTGCTTAACGACTCGTGCGGGCGACCCCGCGACGACCGTATCTGCCGGAACGTCCTTGACGACGACCGATCCTGCCGCGACTACCGCGCGGTCGCCGATAGTCACGCCCTTCAGAACCCGCACACCAGACCCGAGCCATACGTCGTCACCGATCGTAACAGGCCGAACCGCTTCGGGTACGACGAACTCGCCTGCACGGCGAGCCTCGGCGTCGAGAGGGTGACCATCGTAGTCACGGATGGAAACACCTCCCGCCAAGAGACAGTTCCGGCCGATAGAGATCGCCTTGGCGATACTGAAACTGCAGTCATGTCCGACAAACGTCTTGTCTCCGATTTTTAGCTCGGGTTGAGCCGTCACCCTGCTGGTAAAGCCGATACCCGATTTACCCGATAGCCGCACACCACTCCCGATGACAATCCGGCCCCTACCGGTGAGATAAGGGATTTCCTCCATCTGAAACTGTGCGCCGATTGCCTCGCATTGGCTGCGAAACAACGGCTCGTTCCAAAAGAACCGGCGTGTAGCGATCCATCCGTCACGAATGGCGACGTGGACGGCATAGAGTCCCCGCCAGAATGGCCGCGTCACCCTGTTAACGGGCAAGTGGGCTGTCATCAACCTACGGGCGATACGCTTGATTCCTCCCCAGAACGGGCCCCGCCCTTGGCGGATCTTTGCGGTGACGCTCACGACGCCGCCCCTTGCGATACGCCGACCGGTCGCCCCATCAACGTCTGCCTGACCAGCCGGGCGAAGAGTCGCGGTCTGGCGAAGGGCATCGTGACGTCGTGTCTTGCGTAGGGGAACGGCCACGCCCACAGCGACCGACCGAACTGACGCCACGCCGCAGCCAGGTCCGGGTCACAGGCGGCCCAGCGGTAGCGAGTATGGCTCGACCACTTCGCTCGGACCCAACCCGGCAAAGCGTCGCGGTTCTTATCGATCACCCGGAGCATATTGCCGCAGTCTCTCGCCACGTTGGAACGCGAAAGCGAGCTCGGCTCGAGCACCGCCGTGGCGAGTGGCTCGGCGTGGAAGCACACCGGGCCTTTCAGCGTCAGGCGGAACCAGAAGTCGCGGTCCTCAGCGGGCTCGAGCCCCGACACAAAGCGATCCTCGCCA